TTTTGCACTTCTCAAATCATGCTGCGTTGTACACTACCCAGGTCACGGTGTGTTGTGCACTACTCAGGTCACACTGATTTGTGCACTACCCAGGTAACATGTGCTTTGCATTACCCAGGTCACCTATGTCCGAACTACCCCTGTAACACTGTATTATGCACTTCCCAGGCCACGCTGTGTTGTGCACTACCCAGGTCATGCTGTGTTGTGCACTACCCAGGTCACGCTATGTTGTGCACTACCAGGTCACTGTGTTGTGCACTACCCAGGTGATGCTGTATTGTGCACTACCCATGTCACGTGTGTTGTGCACTACCCAGGTCATGCTGTGTTGTGCACTACCCACGTCACGCTATGTTGTGCACTACCAGTTCATGGTGCGTTGTAGACTACCCAGGTCACGGTGTGCTGTGCACTTCCCGGGTCACGGTGTTTTGTGCACTACCCAGGTCACGGTGTGTTGTCCATTACCCAGGTCACGGTGTGATGCTCACTACCCAGGTCACGCTGCGTTGTGCACTACCCAGGCCACACTATGTTGTGCACTACTCAGGTCATACTGTGTTGTGCACTACCCAGGTCACGGTGTGTTGTTCACTACCCAGGTCACGCTCTGTTGTGCATTACCAGGCCGCACTTTTATGCACAAACCCAGGTCACATTGTTTGTACACTACCCAGGTCACACTGTGTTGTGCACTCCCCAGATAAATTGGGGTTGTCTAACCAATTTCAGACTGTTTTTGTGCACTCCCCAGGTCACCTTTTGTGCACTAACCAGGTCATAGTGTGTTTTGCACTATCCAGGTCACACTGTGTTGTGCACTACCCAGGTCGCACTGTGTTGTGCATTACTCAGGGCATACTGTGTTGTGCACTACGCAGGTCACGGTGTGTTGTGCACTTCCCAGGTTACACTGTGTCGTGCATTACACAGATCACACTGTGTTGTGCACTACCCAGGTCACATTGTGTTGTGCATTACTCAGGGCTCACTGTGTTGTGCACTACGCACGTCACGGTGTGTTGTGCATACCCAGGTCACACTGTGTTGTGCACTACCCAGGTCACACTTTTGTGCACTACCAGGTCACACTGTTGTTCACTAACCAGGTCACACTGTGTTGTGCACCACCCAGGTAACGGTGTGTTGTATACTACCCAGGTCACACTGTTGTGCACTACCCAGGTCACACTTTTGCGCACTAACCAGGTCACAGTATGTTTTGCACTGCCCAGGTCACAATGTGTTGTGTACTTCCCAGGTCACACTGTGTTGTGCATTACCCAGGTCGCGCTGTTTTGCACTACCCAGGTCACATTGTGTTGTGCACTAACCAGGTCATCGTGAGTTGTGTATTACCCAGGTCACGGTGTGTTGTGCACTACCCAGGTCACGCTGTGTTGTGCACCTCCCAGGTCACACGGTACTGTACATTACCCAGTTCACACTGTTATGTACTTCCCGGGTCACACTGTTGTGCAGAGCCCAGGTCACGGTGTGTTGTTCACTAGTCGGGCCATGCTCTATTGTGCACTACAATCGTCACACAATGTTGTGCACTACCCAGGTCACAGTATGTTGTGCACTACATAGCTCACACTGTGTTGTGCACTACCCAGGCCACACTGTGTTGTGCACTACCCAGGCCACACTGTGTTGTGCACTACCCAGGCCACACTGTGTTGTGCACTACCAAGGTCAAAATGTGTTGTGCCCTACCCAGGACATGCTGTGTTGTGCACTACCCAGGACACGCTGTGTTGTGCACTACGCGCTTCACATTGTATGTTGTGTGCACACATCAGATAAAAGTTTAAAGTAAAGTTTATTATATGTTGAGTATGATAAAGCAAAGCAGGTATGGCTGGTACACCTCACACGCCTCCTACAATATACTGATAAAACTTGATACATCGTTCCACTTGGTTGTGGACCTTCGCGCCCTTATAAACACTGTTGTTGCAGTTGTCTGCACAAGGAATGTTTTTTATTTTTCTCATTCGGTCTGTCTCCCACAGATGCAGAGTGACTCAAAAAGAGGACACGCATTCATCATCTCTGATTCACTTGTTGTCTTACCAGAAGTGTGTTGACATTACGTTCAGATGGCCCTATGAACCACAACACCTTCCTCCCCTCCTTCAGGATGCAGGAGCTGAACTCCAGCTCCGGACTCGCCCGGGCTTATTATTTTCCCGCATCTCTTTATAAATGTTACTTTGGTTAACTCCCACAAGTCAGGTCAAAAAAAACCACTTTTTTTTCACTTCGTTCTAACATCTCACACACGCCCACTGGATGTTCAAGCTCCTAGCACACACAACTTTCTTTTAAACCTTATCTCCCGCCATTCTTTCCTCCGCTCCTGATTTGTATACTCTCTTACTTATTTTTTTTTTGCTTCATCCATCTTTTTGATCACCTCACCAATCCTTCCTCAGCCCTCTAATTTGGATTTTTTTTTTGAAACCCCCACATTCTTTTCTAATCTCCTTGCTCCCAAAATTTTCTGTGTAATATTCACACCACACACATCTTTCCTTAAACACATCTCCACTAACTCCAATGGTACCACATACTTGGTAATTCCCAGTCTCCACAGAAAGACACACACACACCCATCATTTTCCCTTCTATTCTATAGGTCGCCTAGTCTTTCATAGACCCATGCGTCGACAGGTCCCTCCCAAATACCTGAACACATCCACTTCCTCCATACTTCTCCCTCCATCCTAATATCCAAACTTACACCGCCAGAGTTTAGGGTTTCATCACCTTACAAACAAGCCCCGCCCGGGGCTGGAAAATCCATTTCCTATGCTGACTTTATCTCTCCGTTTTTACATACTCTACAAATTCCTCCACCACCTTTCCAAATTTTCTTTGAAGTTTCCCTAAGGAGTGAGCCCTGACAGAGAGTAACTGTTAAAACTCCCACTCTGTATCTAATCTAATTCAGTATCTTTTAAAGCCCAAAACTCTCCCCAACACCTTAACATTAACATTCTTTTGCATCCCCATCTTTAATGTGCTAGACATCCATGGTGACGTTACATATCCGTCTAGGGTCAACTTTTATTGCAAAATAATCTCCTTCTCTCCTATATACCCTTACATGACCTCACTATTCTCTTAAAAACTCTTTCCTGCTGTCACCAACTTACCACTGGTTCCATACACTTGCAAAAATTTGTACATTGCCCTACTATCTACCCCATCATATGTCTTTCCTGATTCATAAATGCATCAAAAAGTTCCTCACGTTTATATAAGTACTGTTTGGTTTACATACTTCATTGTAAAGACTTTTCCATAACAATAATTACTTGAAATTGCATCAAAATGAAAATTAACAAAAAATAGTATAAGTCTTAGGAATAATAATACTGTACATTCGTTGTGCTCAGAAATTATCAGCTCAGCGTAACTGAAAACTTACAGCAGAGACATTGTTATGTTGTGGATGGCAGCAAAAACATCAAATTACATTCAACATTCAGATCACTGCTCCCGAATTTAATGCAGTATTACTTGTGTTGCAATCACTGCTCTTGTTGTCAAGTTTTACTCAGTGTTAGGTGCACACCAGCTTATAAATATCTATGAACCACTACCTGGGCTGAGTACAGTAACAAAGTCAGACACACGAAGTTTAACACTACACCGACATCAGTCACACAGAGGACAGCAACGCTAAAGTTGGCTCTACTCGCACTACAGCAATGCTAGGGCTGGCCTACACGCACTACAGCAATGTGGCTGGCTCTACACGCACTACAGCAACGCTAGGGCTGGCTCTACACGCACTACAGTACGCTAGGGCTGGCCCTACACGCACTACAGCAACGCTAGGGCTGGCTCTACACGCACTACATAACGCTGGGCTGGCTCTAAACGCACTACAGTTAACGCTAGGGCTACCACACTCACTACTAGCAACTGCTAGGGCTGGCTCTACACGCACTACAGTAACGCTAGGGCTGGGCTCTAACGCACTACAGTAACGCTAGGCTGCCCTACACGCACGACAGCAACGCTTAGGGCTGGCTCACACGCACTACAGTAACGCTAGGGCTGGCCTACACGCACTACAGTAACGCTAGGACTGGCTCTACACGCACTACAGTAATGCTAGGGCTGGCTCTACACGCACTACAGTAACGCTAGGGCTGGCCCTACACGCACTACAGTAACGCTAGGGCTGGCCCTACACGCACTACAGTAACGCTAGGGCTGGCTCTACACGCACTACAGTAACGCTAGGGCTGCTCTACACGCACTACAGTAAACGCTAGGCTGGCCCTACACGCACTACAGTAACGCTAGGGCTGGCTCTACACGCACTACAGTAACGCTAGGGCTGGCTCTACACGCACTACAGCAACTCTAGGGCTGGTTCTACACGCACTACAGCAACGCTAGGGCTGGCTCTACACGCACTACAGCAACGCTAGGGCTGGCTCTACACGCACTACAGCAACGCTAGGGCTGGCTCTACGCGCACTACAGCAACGCTAGGGCTGGCTCTACACGCACTACAGTAACGCTAGGGCTGGCTCTACACGCACAACAGCAACACTAGGGCTGGCTCTACACGCACTACAGCAACGCTAGGGCTGGCTCTACACGCACTACAGCAACGCTAGGGCTGGCTCTACACGCACAGCAAGATTAGGGCTGGCCCTACACGCACTACAGTAACACTAGGGCTGGCTCTACACGCACTACAGCAACGCTAGGGCTGGCTCTACACGCACTAATCACAGAAAGGTACAACAAACTACAACACAACAAACTACAGTACAACAAACTGCCGTTCAGTAAACAACCGTACAATAAACTAACGTACAATAAACTACTGTACAGTAAACTACCGTACAACAAACTACCGCAGGGCTATCATACAATAAATTACTATACAATAAATTGCCCTATAATATCTTCTATATAAAAAATTATGGTAGTATAATTGGTATGTATGAAGGAGGCAGCATAGTTTACTTTATGTATCTGGTGTCGATGGGAGCGGTGGTGGCGAAGCGCGGCCCATCACCAGAGAAGAGCAGAACATTACCAGTGTGGTGAGGACCACAACCCATAGACACTGATCCTCCCTCAACACGATCCCACATGGGCGACACCTCACTGTTGTCGAAGCTGTCGTCCATCCACTCCTGGTTCCTCGACGGGAACTTGCCGCAGTATGTTCCTGGAAAACAAACAAACGTATAAAGGAAGGCCCCGCTTATACAGCTATGACTGTAAAGTGAATCATATCCTTTCTTCACTTTCGAATGTATATAAAAGCCTGATAACATGTTCACACTAATACTCTATTAAGTGAGAAACAGAGCTAGACCTAAAAAAAATGCGTATTCAGTGCAGAATATTACTTACCATAAAAATTTTCTCAACCGTTAATTTAGTGTAATAGAAAATATTTATTAAAGAAAATCTGAATAAATGAAGAAAGGATAACTGAAAACCGCTGCAATAAGTGAAACACCCTAAACAGAGATGCTTTAAAGCGGGGGCATGTGTGTACATGTTATGTGCAAGTTCCACCTATGCACTGAGTGCGTGTTTACTTCCTCTTGTGAGTGTGTCACCTGCTCTGGGCCTAGGTGAACACTGCCCTGAATGATGTGTCACCTGCCTTTTGTGAGGTGTCAACTGCTCGAGTGATGGAGTAACCTGCTCTAAGTGAAGTGTCACTTGCTTTGGGTGAGGTTACAACTGCTCTGGTGAGGTGTCACTTGCTCAGATGAGGGTTTTGCTAAAGAGGTGTCACCTGCTCTGAGGTTGAGAGTCAACTGCTCTGGTGATGTGTCACCTGCTCTGTTAGGTGTAACATGCTCTGAGTGATTCGTCACGCTGCTCTCAGTGAGGCCGGTCACCTCTCAGATTGAGGCTTCACCTGCACTTAGTGACGTGTCACCTGCTCCGGGAGAGACACCTGCACTGAGTGAGGTGTCACCTAGCTCTGAGTGGAGGCATCACCCTCTCCTGGGTGAGGTGTCACCTGCCCATTAGTGAGGTGCACCAGCTATGAGTGAGTGTTACCTGCTCTGAGTGGAGGTGGGTCACTACACAGTGGAGGTGTCACCTGCTCTGAGTGAGAGTGTCCACCTGTTCTGGTGAGGTGTTTCCCTTCTCTGAGTGAGGTGTCTCCCTGCCATGAGTGAGGTGTCACCTGCTTCTGAGTGAGGCGTCACCTGCTCTGGTGAGGTGTCCACCTGCTCAGTGGTGAGGCGGTCACCAGCTCATGGTGATGTGTCACCTGTTCTGGTTAGAGGTGATTTCACCTGCTCTGAGTGAGTTGTCACCTGCACTGAGTAGGTTACACCTGCTCTGGGTGGATGTTGTCACCTGCTCCTGGGTGAGGTGTTACCTTCTCTGATTGGGTGTCTCCAGCCAAGGATTGAGAGGTGTCACCTGCTCTGGTTGAGGTTCACTGCTCTGGGTGAGGTTTCCCTGCTTCTGGTGAGGTGACACCTGCTTCAGGGGGGAGCGTCACTGCTATGGTTCGGTGTCACCGTGTTCTGGTGGGTGTTTACCGTTCTCTGATGAGGTGTCCTCCTGCCATGAAGTGAGGTGTTCTCCTGCCATGAAGTTTAGGTGTCTCCCTGCCATGAGTGAGGTGTCACCTGCTCTGAGTGAGGTTTCCACCCCTGCTCTGGGTGAGGTGTCACCTGTCTGGGTGAGGTGTCCACCTACACTGGTGAGGTGTCATCCCCTTGTTCTGGTGAGGTTCCACCTACACTGGGTGAGGTTCACCTACACTGGGTGAGCGTTCACCTGTTCTGGGGTGAGGTGTCACCTACACTGGGTTGAGTTTGTGTCCACCGTCTGGGTGATGTGTCCACCTTACACTGTGTGAGGTGTCACCTGTTCTGGGTGAGGTGTCACCTACACTGGGTGAGTGTCACCTGCTCTGGGTGAGGTGTCACCTGTTCTGGTGAGCGTGTCACCTACACTGGGTGAGGTGTCACCTGTTCTGTGGTGAGGTGTCACCTACACGTTAGGTGTTCACCTACACAGGGTGAGTGTCACTGTTCGGGTGAGGTGTCACCTACACTGGGTGAGGTGGTCACCTGTTTCTGGGTGAGGTGGCACCTACACTGGGTGAGGAGGTCACCTGCACTGGTTGATGTGTCACCTGTTCTGGTAGGTGTCACCTACACTGGGTGAGGTGTCACCTTTTTCAGGTTGAGGTGTCACCAACACTGTGTGAGGTGTCACATTTCTGGTGAGGTTCAATATACTGGGTGAGGTGTCAAACAACTGTTCTGGGTGAGGTTTCACTACAACTGGGTGAGGTGACACCAGTTCTGGGTGGGTGCTCACCCTACACTGGGTGGAGGTGGTCACCTGCTCTTGGTGATTTGTCACCTTTTTCTGGTGAGGTGGTCACCTACACTTGGTTAGGTGTCCACCTACACTGGGTGATGTGTCCACCTGTTCTGAAGTGAGGTGTCACATATACAGGTGTGAGTGTCACCTGATTCTGGGTGGAGTTGTCCTCCTACACTGGTGAGGTGTTCACCTGTTTTTCTGGGTGAGGTGACACCTACACTGGGTGAGGTGTCACTTCTCTGGTGAGGTGTCACCTTGTTCTGGGTGAGGTGTCACCTACACTGGTGATGGTGCACCTACACTGGGTGAGTTGCCACCACACTGGGGTGAAGGTGCCCCTCTACACTGGTTGAGGATGCAACCTACACTGGGTGAGGATGTCACCACACTGGGTGATGTGGCTACCTACACTGGGTGAGTGTCACCTACACAGGTTGAGGAGCACCTACACTGTGTGATGTGTCACCTACCACTGGGTGATGTGCCACCTATACACTGGGTGATGTGCTACCTCACAGGGTGAGGTGTCACCTACACAGGGAGAGGTGCCACCTACACTGGGTTGAGTTGCTACCTACACAGGGTGAGGTGTCACCTACACTTGGTGATGTTCCACCTACACTGGTTTGAGGTGCCACCTACACTTTGTTAGTGCTACTACATTTGGTGAGGTGTCACCTACACTGGGTGAGGTGCCACCTAAAACTGTGGTGAGGTCCACCTACACTGGGTGAGGTGCACCTACACTGGCGGAGGAGCTACCTACACTGGTTGAGGTTATCCACCGTACACTTGGGTGAGGTGCCACCTACACTGGGTGAGGTGCCACTTACACTTGGGTGAGGAGTCACCTACACTGGGTGAGGTGCCCCTACACTGGTGAGGTGCCACTACAACTGGGTAGGGTGTCACCTACACTAATGTGAGGTACACCTACACTGTGTGAGGAGTCACCTACACAGGGTGATTGCCACCTACCTGGGTGAGATGCCACCTACACTGGGGTGAGGTTTCACCACACTGGGATGAGGTGCCACCTACACTGGGTGAGGTGCCACCTACACTGGTTAGGTGCCACCTACACTGTGTGAGGTTGCCAACCTACACTGGTGAGGTGCCATCTACACTGGGTGAGGTTCCACCAACACTGGTGAGGTGCCACCTAACACTGGGTGAGGCTGCCACCTACACTGGGTTGAGTGCCACCTACACTGGGTGAGGTGCCACTACACTGGTTATGTGTCACCTACACTGGGTGAGGTGCACCTACACTGGGTGAGGTGCCACCTACACTGGGGTGATGTGCACCTACACTGGGTGATGTGCCACTACACTGTTTGAGGTGCCACCTACACTGGGTGTGAGGTTGTCAACTACACGGTGAATGTTCCCACCTACACCTGGGTGAGGTGCCACCTACAACTGGTGAGGTGCCACCTACACAGGGTAGGTGCCACCTACACTGGGTGAGGTGCCACCTACACTGGGTGAGGTGCCACCTACACTGGGTGAGAGTTCCACATACACAGGTTGTAGGTGCCACCTACACTGGGTGATGTGCCACCTAACACTGGGTGATGTGCCAACTACACTGGGTGAGGGTGCCACCTACACCTGGGTGAGGTGCCACCTAAACACTGTGTGAGGTGTCAACCTACACTGGTGAGGTGCCACCTACACTGGGTGAGGAGTCACCAACACCAGGTGATTGAAGCGACCTACACTGGTGTAGAGGTGTCCACCTACAACTGGGTAAGGTGTCACCTACACTGGGTGAGGTGCCGGAACTACACTGGTTGAGGTGCCACCTAACACTGGGTGAGGTGTCCCACCTACACTGTTGAGGTGCCACTACACTGGGTGAGGTGCCACCTACACTGGGTGAGGTGTCACCTACACTGTGCGAGTCCACCTACACTGGTGATGTGCCACCTACACTGGTGGAGGTGTCACCTACACTGGGTGAGGTGCCACTACACAGGGTGAGGTGCCACGTACACTGGTAGAGGGTGCCATGCCACCTACAGCTGTTGAGTTAGAGTCACCTACAACTGGGTGAGGTGTCACCTACACTGGGTGAGGTGTCACCTACACTGGGTGAGGTGTCAACCTACACTGGGTGAGGTGCCACCTACACTGGTTGATGTGCCAACTACCTGGTGAGGTGCCACCAACACAGGTTGACAGATGATGAAAGTGAAGAAAGTATGAATGAGATTCCCTTGTGTCACTCTCACATATAAAGAGCTGAAATACAAGAACAGTTTTTGTATTGTAATAAAGTTGGTAGAATTACCGACAATATGTAAAGTAAAAATGGTACCTCACTAGTACTGCACCTCACTCAGAGCCTTTATATACCCTCTGTGTCCATGTATTGTTTGTAATGGCTTGATAAAGCTCCTGGAGAGCGAAACGTTGCCACAATAAATGTCACATTAGTTGCACTTGTGTCCTTTTACTTTACAGTTTTTGTATTGTTTGCTTAAAACTGTAAAAATCTAAAAAATAATTCATTAGACGTTGATGATCATTGTTAGTCAAAAATTGTTGATCCTTCACTTTCAGATAATAAAACAAACGCTAGATACTGTAAAATTTAAAAAAATATATATAAGATTATATTTGGTAATATTCCAGGAAAAAACCTGTTAAGGACAATAATGTTTTATAAATGAAAAAGGACAACAAAAATATCCTAAAATACATTAAAGAGTAACAACTGTAAAAGGTTTACACTAATAAAAAATGAAAATGTCCAATAAATTAAATGTAATAAATTTAAAAAAAAAGTAGCCACATATAAGGGACGAAATGAACATTACCGACATTTTGAAACCGGACGCCATTTTT